TATGATGGCGTTTTACAGGTTTCTTTAAATGTGGTTTTTACAGAACTTCACCTGGATCAATGTTTTGTGCATATGATAATATGACTATAAATTTAGCTTATTCATATAATATTTGGAGCAGTATAATCTATAACCATGACTTCAAAAATTAAAGGTCAAAAGGATTCTTTTGTTTTAAATCTGCTAACCTGAAAATTATACAAGGGTTTTTCTTTCAAGAATTTTAACTTGACAAATGCAAAGGAATATCCAGCACTGCAAAGGTAAAGAGAAATCTTAGTTCCTTGTCTTATAAGCACCACCAGTTCCTTTCTGGCCTTCCAGGGTCAGAACTCTGGGCTCCGAGGAGATACAACTGTGAGTGAGAGAGTAGCTGCTGTGCTGGCAGGCTATGCATCCAGAACTAAACAGACCTAGCACTTTCTGTTGTACTGGAACCCATTAGGTATGTTCTAAAGTTATGTTTATTTTACTTTCCTGCTCCTGTAAATTAGGATTTTAAATGACTACATTCAGAGGAAAGTATTCCACCCAGAATTCTCAAATGTATTACCTTTTTGTTTTATTTTATTTTAGTTTCTTGAGATGGAGTTTTGCTCTTGTTGCCCAGGCTGGAGTGCAATGGCATGATCTTGGCTCACTGCAACCTCTGCCTCCAGGGTTCAAGCGATTCTCCTGCCTCAACCTCCCAAGTAGCTGAGATTACAGGCATGCGCCATCATGCCTGGCTAATTTTGTATTTTTGGGTTTCACCATGTTGGTCAGGCTGGTCTCGAACTCCTGACCTCAAGTGATCTCTCCGCCTTGGCTTCCCAAAGTGCTGGGATTACAGGTGTGAACCACTGTACCCAGCCCTCATTTTGATATACTAGAAGACCAATATGCAACATAATGATTATTTTGAATGTTATATTCCCTTTTGCCTTAATGAGCAATAGTCTATGTATCCCTTTTCTGGTGCTTTGTAACAAATTACCACAAGTAATTGTTTTAAAACACCATCTATTTGTTATGTCACAGTCCTGTACCATGTGGCTGAGTTGTCTGCTCAGGTATTCTCAAGGCTGAAATGAACACAGCTGGGCTGTGTTCTCTTTTGCAGGCTCTTAGTAAGAATCCACTATTGAGCTCATTCAGATTGCAGAATCCAGTTGCTTGGGGACTGAGATCTCTGTTTTCCTACTTACTATTGGCCTGGGATCACTCTCAGTTCCTAGAGAACTGAGGACTCAGGACTCCTGTCCCGTGCGTGGTCTGCCCCATCTTTAGGGCTGGCACTGGAGAATCTTCCCTCACATGGAATCCCTCTTATGCTTCAGATCTCTCTGATTTCTGTCTCTGACCTCTAGACCCAGATTTAAAGAGCTCATGTGATTATGTCAGTCCCATCCGGATGATCTGCCTTTCTTAAAGCCAACTGTGCTACATAACATAATGTAATCATGGGAATAAGATCCATCACAATCACAGTCTTGGAGATTATTCAGGTTGTGCACACCAGAATATAGGGATCTTGGGGCCATCTTGGAATTCTGCCTATCAGTTTATATCAATGTTCACAAAATAGCACTATGAAAAATCTGCAGTGGATATATTCTTAGTAGAGTTCTATTAGGAAGGAAAAGGAGATATTATATGCAGTCTTATGTCCCAGAGGGCAATTTATTGATGTCTTCCGCATGGATTTCCATGGTACGAAGATAGCATATTATTTCATGGAGTTGTTGTGTGAGTTTATTAATAAAATAGGGTATTTTAAACTTATTTTACTTTAAATCTTAGAAGAAGTGATTCATCCTTCCGTAGCTCAAATATCCTATGTTATAAATCACAAATAATATCATTACAAGATAAATTAAATCTTTTTTTATAATTTTAATAGGAACTGAAGTGTATTCTTATTCTTCAGTAATACTACATCACCCATATGGACTACCTAATTGAATTTTTCTACATATGGAGTTTTGTGACCATTATTCTACCAAAAGACTAACCTTTGAAGCAATAGGACATATTGGAATTCTTTACCAATAGAAAGTAAGCATAGTCCTGGGAGGTACCATCTAAGTATTAAAGAACTAAACAATCACAGTTATTTCAACTATGATTGAAATTGTGATAGTAATATATGTCTTACTGTGTCAGATATATCAGTAGTCAACCTTTCAACTTGAATTTTTCCAAGTTTAATCAAGTTCTGGATGAAACTCATGTACATTTTTTTTACTTTTAGTTTTGTGTTGCTTTAAATCAATATCCTGAAAACTCAGAAGTAAAAAAGAGAAAGAAGAAAAATATATGTAATTTCATGTAAATTTATTTAAAACACAGACTTTTGGCTGGGCACAGTGGCTGAAGCCTGTAATCCCAGAACTTTGGGAGGCCGAGGAGGGTGGATTGCCTGAGGTCAGGTGTTCAAGACCAGCCTGGCCAACATGGTGAAACCCCATCTCTACTAAAAATTCAAAATTTAGCCAGGTACAGTGGTAGGTGCAGGTGCCTGTAATCCCAGCTTCTAGGGAGACTGAGGAAGAAGAATTGCTTGAACCCTGGAGGCAGAGGTTGCAGGCAGCCGAGATCGCACCACTGCACACCAGCCTAAATGGCAGAGTAGGACCCTGTCTCAAAAATAAATAAATAAATGAACAAATAAATAAATGAAGTAAAACACAGACTTTTGTGTTAAGGGGACCTAAACATGACTGTCAGCTGAACTCAGCAATCAGGCAAGTAATTTAATCTCTCTAAAGTTCAGATGTCTCATTTTTGCAATTTAAGTACAATAATGTTGACTTATGCATTATAGTTCATTTATTTAAACACATTTTAAAAACCTCCCAAATGCCAGAAGCCTGCTAGACTCTGACTATATAGCTATGCTTTTTTGAATATCTGAAGATATGCATGTGTCTAATGAGTAAAACAGATATAATCCCTTTCATAGAGTTTACTGACAAAGAAAGAATTAGGATACATGCAACAGTATGTAATAAAGTGCAAAATCTAGTACTGTGTAGCTACTTAAAACATATTATATGCTTTCTTCCTTTCCTTTTCCCTGCCTGATCTTATTGCCATAAGAAATCTTACTGTGATTTTGGCAAATGAATCTGAGAAGGATATTGTTGCTGATGGACTAGTATAGAAAATAGCAGCATGACAAATTAAATGTGTCATTGGGGAAGTGAGATTGTATAATGAACTGAGTTTCCTGGTCAGTCCTGCTAGAACTGTGCCTTTCAGCAAAATGAGTTTGATGATTTCATTCCAAAGATCAAGTTGCAGCAATTTTCATCATGAATGTTACCCAATCATGGAAAAATTGGCAACATTTCTCAGCAGATGTTAGTCTTTCTTGAAGAAAGGTTCTCTCAGCTGACAAGCTAACGATAGTGCTCCTGATGGCGAGGGGAGAGATGGTGATGATGATTGATTGATAAAAAGTATTTCAGTCATATTTCCAGGTTTATAAGATGATTTGCAAACATTTTCTCTTGTTCCCTCTAACACTGCTAGTAGATAATGGAAACTCCTTTGGTCTGTAGATAATTTTATGCTATGTTATATGGAATATCCATAGCATTTTGTGAACTCAAAAACAAAGGAGGAAGCAGCTTGCATATGCGTATCTTGCTAGCAGATTGGTAGAATAGAGAGAGCAGTAAGTGTGTGAGGACCATTGAGGTAAATTGTCCCAGAGTTGTAACTTTTTCTGGGCCTTGACTTTGGCTAATTCTCTGAATACCAAATATCATGTAGGCATTCACAAATCTGTCTGAAAATTGAGATGGTGATCATTTCTCTCCTGGGTGTTATGAAGAAATGTGTTTATTAAATACTTTGCATCCCTTGAAGGAACTATATGAATGATAGGAATAAGAATTATTGGTAGGTTGGAATGGTCTATTGATGTTACTATGGCTTTGTTTCTACCAAATATGGTAAGTATAATGTAGAGGAAAATACAAAATACAACTTTTATCCCCCATTTTTTCATTCAGCTATACCTCAATATTCAGTGACAGGGCCACCTTAATCTCCACCCATGAAAACACATCTAGAGGAGTGTCACAAGTTTTTCACAGTGACATTTTTGCTTACTGATACAAGACAGTGATGATGACTGATGATGTCTCAGTGATTTCTGAGTAGCTTCTAACCAGCGCGTAACTCCCCCAACAGTCTTTAAGTCTTTGGGTGCCCATATTTTCCTCTTTGTTCTCCCCCTTCAGACTGACAGTTTGTAGAGAGAGGGCAACAGATCTTTCCAATACACAACTGTTGCAAAATATAGCAGGTTTTTCTTGGATTTCAGCTACTCCCTGTTAAACAATCAGAGCTTAGTGAACAGTGATTCAGTGAGGAGGGAAAGCACTCAGGAAGGAGCAGGAACAAGTACAAGTTTATGAAAAGGATTAGGTAACAAAACAAGGTCAAACTCTGCAGTAGTTTGTTTTCCTCTCCCTGCTATCCCTCTTCAATCAGCAAAGAGGCTGTTATCAGTTGCTGGGGTTATGACTGGGCACATCCGCCCTGGGTCAAATATGCTGCAGTCTGCAAAGCCAGCAGCAGATTGCAGTCCTCTGCAGTCCAGCCAGGCCAGCAGAACTTGTGTAGCCATGTGCCCTGTTATAGCTGTGATACTGAATTGGGAATGGGGCACTTGAGGGCAAAAGCAATGAAAGCTTTTCCTTTCTCAAAACAGTCTGTTCTTCCCGTAGTGTTTTAAGAACACAGATGTGTATTGGGCAAGGCAAAGCCAAAGCTGACCTTTACAAGATTATTAAATCTGGTCTTCCAGGGTATCTAATCTGTGTAAGGACTCTTATGAACTAATTTTCTTCTAAAGTGCTATGTATATAGATATTATCATAGAGTTACGCGTGAAATGGCTCATTCAGTACTTTTTTTAGATGCCCGGAAATATTTAATTTTAACAGCATCCCCGGGAGAACATTGTCTTGTCATTTTAACAGAAAACTCTCTTTGTGATTTTGCAGCCACGACAGCCCAACCCTGACTGGCGTTACTCTGCTTCCCTGAGAGCAGGCATGCACAGGTATGTATTTCCCTCCTCGTTCACTCAGAAGTAACCTTAACTTGGTATGGCTCAGATAAACTGTGTCTCCATAGACCAGAAGCAGCTGTCAAAACTAAACAGCTTCAGGTACTTTGCCAGGAAAATGCAATTTTTTTGTCCCTGTGTCTTTTCCTTGAAAGATTGCAAATGGTCAGTGCCAAATGCTTATCAAGTGCTGGAATATAGAGTCCTCTGTAAAATCACAGAAACAGGCCGCTGTGTATTTTCTCCCAGCAAAATTTCTACAGGGAAGTAATTTCAACCTCCTTCATCCCTCTCTACCTATGCTTTCTTTTCCTCCTTTAAAAACAATAATTAATACTCATGCTTTGAGACTTGGGTACATTGTACAATGTATTTACATACATGTTGTCTACCTTGTTTTTTTTTTTTTAATCTCACATTGACTGTTACATCCTATTACCCTCAATAACTGATTACTGTTGTTGTTCATGTTCATGCCTATTAGAGTGTCCTCATCTTTCCCATCTGTTGCTATCTTATTGTTATCAATGACATGGGTTCTTCAGAGGATGAGCCATGTAAAGGGCTTTTATTGGATATCTGGAGACCAAACCTAGCTTACTTTAAATTAACCTAGAGTAACAGCATTAGTCTAAGACTCAGATTAAATATAATTTTGCTCTCTCTACTTTGTCTCTCTGACAGTAATTGATTAACTACCATTATTTCTGGAGGTGATCTAGTATCCATGCCATGGGGCCAAATAAAAGATTCATTATTTGCAAATGTCTTTGGAAACCAAATGGGAAGGACGAAGAAACGAATGATCACTGGTCAATATAGTGAAACCCCGTCTCTACTAAAAATACAAAAATGAGCCAGGCATGGTGGCGGGTGCCTATAGTCCCAGCTACTTGGAGGGCTGAGGCAGGAGAATTGCTTGAACCTGGGAGGCCAAGGTTGCAGTGAGCTGAGATCCCGCCACTGTACTCCAGCCTGAGTGACAGAGTGAGGCTTTGTCTCAAAATTAAATTAAATTAAATTAAATTAAATTAAATTAAATTAAATTAAAGGGTCCTCTAATTTTGATGAGGATTTTCTTGGACATTTTCTCTTAGGATCCCACTTATTTCTTCCTTCCTTTCTTCCTTCCATCATTCATTCATTCATTCATTCATCCATCCAACAAATATTTGAGAGATTAATATGTGTTAGTATTAGACATACATAAATGAATACTGCACCTTGTTCTCTTTTCTCTTGAACAGTTTATGTTCTATCTCTGCTTGCCTCTAAAGGTCTCCCATTTTGTGTCTCACTCCCAGCAATGTTTTATGCTGAATTAGTCTCTTCTGAACTGAGATCTGTGAGTGGTGGTGATCAGGTTTCTCTAGTCTCAGGAAATACAGGGTGGGTCATCTATGCCTAAAAGATATAGAAAGAGTAAAATAGAAAATAAGGTTAAGAATTAATTGGATAGCCAAATTGGAACAATACTCCAATTATCAGAAAATAATTTTAGTGTGTTTTCTTCTTTAGAATAGAGAACCCGAGAACAAGAGAACCTACAGGAGAGTCTTGGAGCTTTTGAGAACAAGCCCTCCTCATCTGCTTCAGCATCGAGATGTTAAAATGGCTTAGTCCTCTGATGGGCTTCCTGTTAGATTTAGTGAGCACTACATGGCATTAATAAGAAACAAAATTGCCATAAAGATAGAACATGTGTATTCCTGGAATAGTATAGCAGGCAGTAAGTAAGTCAGCAATGCTTCTACAGTTTATGCAGGGTGACTGCTCAGCAATAATTGCTTCAGTTCAAGCATGAGCAGAATGTGTTAGCTGCAGCCCTGTCTTCATAGATGTAAGCAATTTCTGAGGGTGGAAGAAGAGCTGGGAAAGCATTTATGATCTAACTGTTATCTGGGTCTGTGTGTTTATTCAGCTCTGTGCACCTAGAGGAGGCTGGCATTCTACGAGCTGGTCCAGGAGGGCCTGATCAGCAGTGGCCAACAGTATCCAGTGCAACACCAGGTAAAGAGCTGGGGGTCTCTCCATTCTTTCTTGGGTTCTAGAAAGTGATCAGATGACCTATTTTTGTAAAATCAGGAATGTTGATGGCTCTTTTTCTTTTATCTTTTTGTTCTTCCCTTTTTTCCGTACATACATGATTTCCTTACATATATGATTATTTTGATTTTATACCTAATGCTTTTCAGGAGTTGAAAAAGGATAACATAAGAAAAGTGTGCACGTGTGTGTGTGTGTATGAAGTTTTTGGGATTTGTTTGTTTGTTTAAATCAGGTACCTTTCAAATGCTTAGGCCATCCAAGACATGCTGAGAAGATCTGGTGGCCTTATGCACAGAGATGACACTGTTAACAAAGATCTTTTGGTTGAAGACTATGGAAACCCACCCAAAGTAGTAAGGAAAGAAAGAGAAAAAGTAGGAAAGAAAGAGAAGGAAGGAAGGAAGGAAAGAAGAGGAAGGAAGGAAGATGGTTTCTCATGGAAGTGGAAAGTTATCAGAACCAAGGCATTGTTTTGAGTTCAAGTCAAAGTTAATCTGCTTCTCTCTGCACATCAACAACATTCTGCAGACTGACTTTTAGTGCCTTGGCATGCATGTTGCCAAACATGATCACCTCACAATTTCTTAGTTTAGAGGAATAATAGGGACCCTTTCCTAATCCAAACTTTCAGGAAAGAGAATCTGCCAAGTTGTGTAAAAAACCTAATGACTGGGTGAGTATAGGAAAATTGCTTAAACTCACATTTCCTTGGTATCCTTATTCTTGACCTATCACTAAAGCAGGGTCATGTAATAGAAATATGGCTTTGGAGGCCCATAGCTGTGGCAGTTTTCAGAAAGGGAAGATTAAGTGTTGGTAGAGACACAAAATATGTCTACTCTAATCCTCTATTAATAGAACATCATGATGATAATAGTAGTTACTAATTATTAAGCCATAATATGCCTTGATACTGTGCCAAGTACATTGTATGTGTGGTCTCATTTTTTCTTTAAGTCAAGCTTGCAAGGGATTTATTATATCTATTCTACATAGGAGAAACTGCAGCGACAGAGAGATTAAACAATGTACCCAAGTTCACATAGCTTGTTAGTGGCAGAGGGTAGGATTCAAACCCAAATGTGTTTAGTTTCAAATCCAAGTATATCTGGCACTTATATTCATAACATGGCTGGCTTGCAAGAATCCATTCAAATTCAAATACATATCTACATACATAACAGATGACATAGAATGTGTGTGTAAAAGGTTTTTTCCCCAAAATAATCAGATGCCTTTCAAATTATTAAGTAACATGCAGCTAAGGGCCCATTTTTTGCTGGCAACTCTAAGGGCGTTCATAGATTCTAATCAGCCAGGATTTGCTATTTATGGATGTTGCACAATTCAACTAAAAGTCACATTTGTCCAAAAAATATACAAGTTGAAGCAATTCATTAGAGAGCTAATATTGCCAGATTGCAAGGGAAAGAACACAAAATAGTTCATTGACAAATCTGTACCCTCAATGCCAATGACGGAGTGAAGACATGATGGAGGAGGAAGTGGTTTTAGATTGCCAAGTGTTGCAGGATGTGGAAGCATCTGGGAAGGTGAGAATTTCCCAAAGAAGCCACGTGAAATCATGACTTTCTACCCTGCCTTTGTTTCAGTTTTTCTTGCTCTTATGGAGGCATTGTAGGTCGACCTGGTGAGCCAAAAACTAACTTTGAATACATTCTCCCTCCCAGTGGTGATGCTGGTTGATGTGTATTCCTAGGTAAATGTGGATCAGGAACCATGTATTGATATTTCATACATCTGGCCAGGTCCCTCTTTCAGATTCAAAAAATGTTAAGAACCTATCTTTTTTACAGAGATAGAGGAGGGGATCTCCTTGTTCCCTTTTTTACTGTCCCAGCCCCTCTTGTATAACCCATTTTATCGAGAACTGTGCCTGGCTGCTGACACATGAGTTACAGTCTTCATGGACTATGCTGGATAGGGCTTACATCTTCCAGCTACTCCGTGGCAACCTAATCATACTTTTCAATACATATCTCTGCATCAATGATGTAAAGTTAAAGGGATTCTCTACTTTCTCCCCGTCTTTCTGGTACTTTTAGGCTTTTAAGACTCAATACATGTTCTGCACTGCTTGGAGGGAATATGGCATAAAGATTAAGATTATGATTTCGAGTCAGATTTGAGTTGAATTCTAATCCCAAGCTTACTTGCTGAGTGAGCATAGACAAACTGCCTGAATTCATATTTTCTTAATTACCCTTTCTGTAAATTGGGTGTAGCAATAGTAATAACACCTGTTTTATTGAGTTACTATGACTAAAGGAGAAAAAAGAACTGAGCATAGTGCTTGACATATAGTTAATACATGTCTATTTTTTTTTTTTTTTTTGAGACAGAGTCTCACTCTGTCCCCCAGGCTGGAGTGTAGCGGCACGATATCGGCTCACAGCAACCACCGCCTCCTGGGTTTGAGGGATTCTCCTGCCTCAGCCTCCTGAGTAGCTGGGACTACAGGCGTGTGCCACCAAACCTGGCTAATTTTTTGTGTTTTTAGTAGAGATGGGTTTCACCGTGTTAGCCAGGATAGTCTCAATCTCCCGACCTCGTGATCCACTCACCTTGGCCTCCCAAAGTGCTGGGATTACAGGCGTGAGCCCCTGTGCCCGGCCTCACTGATGAATTCTTTTGCTTTGTTGAGAAACTGTTCACTTATTTTCACAGTCTGCAAAAGCCTAAGATAAAGTTGCCACACTCTGAAGGGATCAACAAGGGCATCACCAAGTGATGTTTTCTGCGGCATAAACAAATCAGGCATTAAATTGGTTAATCCTGATTACTGGCCCCTTTCTCTAGCCTCCCCTTTGTGTGAGCAGACCCGGACCATAGGCTTTCTTATTTCCTTTCAGCTTCCCTTGAGACTGAGCAGAGAGAGAAAATTAGCTAAATTGGGAATGCAGGGAATACGGTTGCAGCCTCTTCTTCAGATGGAAGAATGTGTTTGGGGGTGGGGAGGGACATTAAAGGGCCAGTCGCTCATGTTACAGCTCTTTTTAACTTCAGGAATACGAATGCCCTGAAGTGGTTTTAATGAATGCCCTCTTGTGATCAGTTCCTAGAGGCAATCCCAGAGGTTATAAAAGGACTGCCTCTGTCTGTGAGGGAACTGGTCTGGCTTCAGTAGGCCAGGCTGCTTTGTTATCTGTCATTGGTTCTTCCAGCTCCTCTTTCTACATTTCAGGGGATCTCAGGCCTTACCTAAGGCAACAGTACATTAGTTTTGGAGTGGGAAATTTTGAAATTTTCAAAATTTTGAAAAGTTTTGAAATTTTCTGAACTATTTTCAGAAAAGTTCAGAAAATTTCAAAACACACAGCACTGCAGAAGATAACATTATAGTTTCTCAAGACTCCAGGGGATCTGGGACTAAACAGCGAAAGATTAGTTAGGTAGGGGAAACCACTAAGGCAATGAGGCTTAGTTGGAGAACCTTGGTTTAGACAATGGTTCTCAAAGGAGCAGCAACACCAACAATACCCGGAAACTTGTTAGAAATGCAGATTCTTAGGCTCCATCCTAGACTAATGAATCAGAAATTCTCAGGATGGAGGCTGGGTGTGGTGGCTCATGCCTGTAATCCCAGCACTTTGGGAGGCTAAGGCGGGCAGATCACTTGAGGTCAGGAGTTCAAGACCAGCCTGGCCAACATGGCGAAACCCCATCTCTACTAAAATTACAAAAATCAGCTGGGCATGGTGGCGGGCGCTTGTAATCCCAGCTACTCGGGAGGCTGACACAGGAGAATTGCTTGAAACCTGGAGGTGGAGGTTGCAGTGAGCTGAGATCGCACCACTGCACTCCAGCCTGGGTGACAGAGTGAGACTCTATCTCAAAAAAAAAAAAAAAAAAAAAAAAGAAAGAAAAAGAAAAAAAGAAAGAAAGGCATTTTCAGGAATAGGACCCAGCAGTCTATGTTTTAAAAAGCCTTCCATGTGATACCAATCTACTCTAAAGTTTAAGAACTGCTCTAAGGTCAATATTCCTGAGGTTGTCTTATATCATTACAGGCTGAGAATCCATGCACAGAAGCCAACTGTTTATGGTTCTTGTGAGAAGAAGGGGGCCTTTTCCCATGCCCGAGAGATAATTGTTAAGAGCTCAAGCTTGGGAGTCAGTGACCCTTTCTGAATTCTACCTCTGCCACTCAGTAATTGTATGTTCCTGGGAACATTACTTAACTTTCCTGATTCTCAGTTTCTTTCTCTATAAAATGGGGAGAATAGTGGTGTGTACCTTATAGGGTTCTTGCAAAAATGAGATGAGATAATGCACATACATTGCAGAATCTGAAGAACAATAAGGGTTTAGTAAACAGTAGCTATTTTTAAATGATTTTTCAAGGTATGAGTCTATCCTTCAGCTTCAAAATTTAGACCCAGGTTGTTCTGAGTATTCTCTGTGGGAAGAATCTGCTATAGAGAAGATTTTTTTAAGTGCCTGTCTCTTTGTTTCCTTAGGGGATTGCTTTTGCCCTGATTTGCCACATTTCTTTACTCTGTGGAAAATGGACACAGTTTATGTGCCCTAGTTTTATATGGGGATTTATAATCTTAATTGTCTCAAGGATTCTTACCTCTCTGACAAAACCAACTCCCCATAGAAAGACTCCATGGAGACTCCATCTCTGGTCCTTCCCCAGAAAGAAAGCATGATCCTTAAGTTTTTCGGAATCTATTTAGGAGCACTGTCAACATGAATTTTTCCATTTCATGAGTGAGTGCAGCCTCAGGCCTTGTTGGAGAATTTAGAAAGCATGCTGTTCCACTAACCTGTTCAACCTCAACTTCTGCCGTTGTCATAGCAATGACAGTCCTGGGAGGTGTGTGCATATCCTTATTAGGAAAAAAACAAATGAGGTCAGGGATCTGTGTGAGTGGGGCAGCTCCCGCCTGTGAGTATCCTTCGCTCTCACCTGCCATCTGACAGCCCAGGAGTGC